CTTCAGCCTGGGCAACAGAGTGAGACTCCATCTCAGAAAAAATAAATAAAAAGATGTTCTTGTCTACCTATTTAATATGTATCATGTCCCAGCCACATATCCTATTATTGTTAATAAATGTCATGCCCCAGGCACGAGTGAAGACTGACATAAATTCCTACCTTCTGAAGCTTCTAGTGATCTTTGAAGGCAGACATTAATTCATAAAAATATGTTGTGGAGGTTTTTGATTGGCGTACTGGAAGTTATGAAAGCCCAAAGGGTAAAACTCAATTTCTTAGTCACAAATACTTTCTTGTCTTACATAATATTTTGATAAGACACTTTATTAGCTGAATGGCATCCCCATTGTGTAGCTATATCTTAATTTTCCTAACTTACTGTCATACATGTCAATTTTTAGCTATCGTAATTAAAATAATACCCTCACAGTTAAATCTTTGTACATGATCACAACTATTTTTGTAGGCCATATTACTAAAAGTAATATTTCTAGCTTAAGAAAAAGGCAAACTGTAGAAGGTTTAGATAAGCATTGCCAAGTTGGTTTCCATAAATATTGTACCATTTTTTACATTCACCAGCAGTGCAAGAACATGCCCATTTCACCACACCTTCCACAGTATTAAATATCATTACTTTTATTTTTTTAATGTTCTATGGGATAGCAATATTTGTTGGATATCATTAAAGAAAATGTATGGAGCAATTTGATAACCTTTGATTGATTTGCAAGTAAGATTGAACCTTGTAGTTGGAGGTTTGTTTATTGGTTCCCTCATCTTTCTTTAGTGAATGGCTTGTTTATATCCCTTTCCTGTTTGATGCAGACTGCTTATCTTTTTGTTATTAATTTACTAGGGATTTGTGCATTAAAGATAATAACTCAGCTGGTCATGGTGGCTCTTGCCTATAATCCCAGCACATTGGGACACCGAGGTGGGAGGATTGCTTGAGCCCAGGAATTTGAGACCAGCATGGGCAACATAGAAAGACCCTGTCTCTACAAAAAAAAGAAGAAGTTAGTCAGGCTTGGTGGTGTGCCCTGGGATCCCAGCTACTTGGGAGGCTGAGGGCAGGAGAATCACTTGAGTCCAGGAGTTCAAGGTTATGGGGAGCTATGATCATGCCACTACACTCCAGCCTGGACAACAGAGCAAGACCCTGTCTAAAAAAAAAGATAATTCTCTAGATAAGGGCAGATCTTGAGAGAGAGAAATTAATGACTTATAGTGGAGTGATAAAACTTTTGCTGAGTCACATATTTGTTACAAAGTTGAAAATTGGCTATTGAGCTCACTCCTATAATTTTATGGCCTTCTATCATTTGTGCACAGACCATGTTTCTTTTGCCTGTCTTCACAATATTTTATACATTCTCATCCAAATTTTCATTTGTTGCGGCTCAGAGATTACCCTTCCCATGATTGTTTTTCTGCTGCTTAATACAATCAACTCTTATTTCCTTTTTTATAGATAACACCTGTGCTGTAGATTAACTGTGGAATTGGGCCTATAGGCCAGCTCTATTCTCAGTTTTTTGGACTGATATTTGGGGAAGAATGAAAAAGGGGCCATGGTGATGACCACTTGTGACTCTTTCTCTGTCTCACTACAGATAGAAATGTACATCTTTTCTGCTGTTCTCAGGAGGGTGGGATAGTAAATAGCTTTCACAATACCCATTTAGCAGGTTGCTTAGCAAAGGTGCCCTTTTGTTCTGGGCATTTGAAGACAACAAATGGTAATGGAGAAATGGGCAAAGGAAGAACTGACAGGCTTTATTGATGAAAACAATCACTGAGGTATACACACATGTATGTGCATGAGAAAGGTGTGCTTGAGTGACATGACTGTGCACAGATGACAGGAGCGAGTTAAAGAAAATATTTTTTACATTTCTGTAGAAAGATCTTAATTCAAGAAATAATTGATAAGGTGCAGAATCTGGGTGGAATAACAAGGTGATAGAAAGTTTCTACTTTACATCAGAATATGGAGATTCCTGTACTATCTGACTTTATGAACGTTCTCAGTAATACAGCATTTCAAATGATTTTTGAAGAGCAAAATTTTTTAAAAACACTTTTCTGCCAGAGAACTAAGTTCTAAAAGCTGGCATTAATTTCTGTCTATGTCAAAAGCCAAATGGATTAATAATGGAATATCACATGAAACATACAATGTTTCATGTCAGTGTTCTTAATCATAATAATAAGACTTGATAAGAAAGCTGAAAAAGATTATTCCCATTCTGCAGTTGTTATAATAAATGAAACTATCCCCTGGAGAATATGCTCTTTTTTAAAACAGGTTCAGAGATCGGCAGTCAGAAAATATTCCAACTTGATTAAAATTTTTCATTATATGTGCAGCCAGCTCCTTACCTGATCTTTCAAGTAGGAAAAATATGAGAATTGTAAGCCTTGGTAAAATGTTATGGAAATGTAAAACTCAGTAAACACTAAAAAAGCAACTGAAGATTCAAATCAGAAGGTAACAATTAAGAACCTTCCAGAGTTGAAGCAAGTAAGCATAGTGAATGATGAGACTTAAATGTGTCCATAGAAAGACTATTCTTGTTTTCCATTTTTTCAAATATAGCTTTTCTGGGCAGTGCTGATTGACAGAGCAGTTTTTTATTTCAATGACCTCCAGATTTAAAGGCAAGGGGGAACTATGGTGTATATTGATGCTGTTTTGTATTTTAAACATCAAAATTTACCATACTTTATATTTCTGTAACCGATTTTATATTGAGGTAGTGCAGTTCATTTACACACAGTCATTATTTAGTACTCTGTTAATGTTTCAAGGGGCTGGGCACGTAAGCCCAACACTTTGGGAGGCCAAAGCGAGCAGATCGCTTGAGCCCAGGAGTCTGAAACCAGCCTGGCCAACATGGTGAAACCCCATCTCTAAAGAAATGCAAAAATTCGCCCTGTTTGATGGCATGCACCTGTAGTCCCAGCTACTCTAGAGGCTGCAGTGGGAGGATCACCTTAGCCTGGGGAGGTCAAAGGTGTAGTGAGTGTTGATTGACCACTGCATTCCAGCCTGGGTGACAGAGTGAGACCCTTGAGCCACATGGACCAAAATAAAAAGTGTGTTGAATATTCATGTTTATAGAGCAAAGCATGTATATAAAAATACTTTTGTATCAAAGTGTTTGATATATTTCACCTTTTTTTGCTCACAATACATTGTTTTTATTTGAGCTATAATTGTTCTCTGGGAATATTTTAAATCTAGTTTTTATAATGAGCTTAAGGCTTTATTTGGACTTTGATCGTAAAATGTACGTACTTTGCATAGTTAACATGGCTATTACCCTGTATTTTTTCAGGTTCTTATTTTGAGTTCTTCATTATATAAGTTTTAATTTTTTTTAACCCATTAGCAAGTTTATTGTAATTGAAATGTTACTTGTCTTTTAAAAACTATGAAGCCATTCTTTGAGATAGCACAAAGATGTCCTACCATAAAATGTTAACTTTACATATTTGTAAATTAGAAACATCACTTTACATATCACATTACTATGGGTCTAACGATTTATAAATAGCATTTTGCTTATTTTATGATGATCTAAAAAATTCACTTACAGGTGAATAGTGTACTCTCAAAATGTATTTTATCTAATTGAGACATCTGAGATTGCATGTTTATGCCCCAAATTCCTTGCATTCCAAATTTTCTTGAATTCCAAATTCCTTGGGTTGATTTTTATTCTTATTAGGACATTTCAAAAATTTGGTAGGATGCAGTCACCTACTTTTTTCATGTTATTGAACATTCTGTAAAAGCACTATCTGTTTAAAGTATATATTCCTACATATCTGTGTACCATTATGTTTCTTATTCTTTAATTATAATTTGATAAGTCAAGCTTGAGTGATTAAACAGTTGCTGGATAAGTATTTCAAAAGTGGGAAAAGAGGAGGAGAAATAGGTTTTAGAACTAGATGTACCATTCAGTTTTTACTTGAAGAGCCTGTGCCACATGTCTGTTATGTGGTTGGAGCAAGAATTTGTGCTTAAACAAGCATCCTGGCCTTACTGATTTGGACATGACCAGTATAGAGATGGTGGAAATCTTGGCCATGAGTGGGATTGCTGAGGAGGAGGACCTCAGAAGGCTGAGTGCTTCCTCTTCAGGAGTGTAGCCTTTCTTAATGATAGACTGTCATCTTAATGCAGTTTATTCAGTTATACATTAAGCTTTCATTTTTTCCTCTGTTTTAAGGGAGGTGAACAAAAATTCGTATATCCTAAATGTTTTTTATTTTAAAAGTCTTCCTTGTCTTCTGTACTTGGTGACTATGAAATTAAATCTGATATATAACTAATTAATTAAACAAGATTACCTGAATAATATTTACCAGCTCTATTATGTACGCTACAATGTTGTGGAAAAGTTTTCTGTGATGTTGTATATCTCTGGTTGGTCTCACAGATGTTGACGTTGCAATTAGTTAGAGGCTGTCTGAACCCAGATACCGTTTTCTGCTGATTTTATATGATCAGGATTTGGTATTTTTTTGTGAATAAACACCATTAGTGTACATTAAATGTATTGATAACTTCAGAATTTCCTTATAAAAAGGGAGACAAATGAATTATATTTATTTATTTTTACTCCTGTTGTTACTGTTTTTCTTGTCGTTTAGAGTATATAATGAGACCAAAAAAATCCCGAACTCTAGAACTCTCCTAGTCTTTAGTCCTTCCACTACATTTTCCCCCTAACTTTCTCAAATCTGGTTTAGGTTTGGTTCAATATTGAATAATTGCTACATACAAATATTAACAGCTGGTTCCTGAAATCTTCTGGAGTGGGTGCAGATGTACTGTTTTCATGAATCTTGCTATGGAAACTTGGTGGAAATATTTTGCCTCTTATGATTAAGGAACTGCTCATTAGCAGTGTTTAAAAATAACTTTGAGAAAGAAACATTGGAATATAATGTGCTGTGCAATTTTGTTCCCTATTAGAAAGCAGAAGATGAGGATATTGTTCTCACACCTGATGGCACGAGAGAATTTCTGACGTTTGAAGTCCCACTTAATGATTCGGGATCTGCTGGCCTTGGTGTCAGTGTCAAAGGTAACCGGTCAAAAGAGAACCACGCAGATTTGGGAATCTTTGTCAAGTCCATTATCAATGGAGGAGCAGCATCTAAAGTGAGTGTCAACTTTACCATGCGTATGCCTTTTAATTTCAACATTGTTCCTATTTTGGAAACATATTCCTATTGAAACTTTTAATTTCAACCCTGTTCCTATTTTGAAAACATATGCAGTTAACAGAAGTTTTCTCATTTCTTCATGGTACCGACATTCACAATCAAACAACTAGGAGATGTCTCAGTGATGTGTCACGTGGGGATGGAGTCCGTAACTTCAACTCTTCATTTTTTCTCTCACAAAACATACAACCCATAGACATGCTAGTTAAATGAAGTTAATCTATGCAAAGACTTGGTATAGGTCCTAACACAGAATGGGCATATAGTAGACATTAATCTTTCCCCTCCCCTCCCTTGTTTGTGGGTCACTTACTCTATTTCTCAGCCTAGAGAAAATTTCCTGGCCATTTGTTAAGGGGACAGTTCTCTGCAACTGTCTAATAGCCTTGAGCTTTTACATGTCTTGGTTTCTAAATAACCTCTATGGGTGTTTCTGGAAGCAAGAAAGTAATCACTTTGTGTCCTTTGAATTAGTATGCTATTTTGGTAAACAGATTATGATAATGACTTGATTTACAAATGTATAAATGATTGAAATAGACACAGGCTACAATAGCTGCTTAGATGTTATTATGCCAGTGTTCAATTGGGCATAATCCATTAGGATTAAAGCTCTCCACTTTTTTTTTTTTGGCTTTGTTTTTTATTTTATTTATTAACTAAAGGAAAAGCTACTTCTTTTATAGCAGTCTATTTAATAGCACTTATTTTTACCTGTTTTCTTCCCAGGATGGAAGGCTTCGGGTGAATGATCAACTGATAGCAGTAAATGGAGAATCCCTGTTGGGCAAGACAAACCAAGATGCCATGGAAACCCTAAGAAGGTCTATGTCTACTGAAGGCAATAAACGAGGAATGATCCAGCTTATTGTTGCAAGGAGAATAAGCAAGTGCAGTGAGGTAAAAATTGCAAAAAAGTGCTAGCATCTGAGATTGTAATAAAACTACATTTCTGTCCTAATTTTGGACAAAGGGTGTTAGGTTCCAGGACCTTACCTCAAAAGACCATAAATTATCTTTGCTTGTTGTGGTTTTGTTATTTTGTAGGTGGATTGTGATTTGTGTTCTTAATTCTTGTGATCAACATATTCCTAAGTGGATATTAATACTTCTGTTGCCAACTCAGCAGGAAACACTGGGATCTTAAAAACCCCTTTAGCTGAATTTTTTCTTGAAATCAGGGTCACATCTTCCTTCTCAGAGCCAACAGTTTCTCTTCTAGTTGGCAGAGTTATACCTGGGAGGTGAATCATGCAGAGAAACAGTTGCTTATTCATTTGTTTATCTAAAATGGGATGCCTCTTACAAAGTCCCTAGTAGGGAACAGTCTTTCTTTCTCCCATCCTTTCTTTTTTTTTTAAAGACAGGATCTCACTGTGTTGACCACGCTGCAGTTCAGGGTTGTGGTCACAGCTCAATGCAGCCTCCATCTTCTGGGCTCAATTGATCCTTCTGCCTCAGTCTGCCAAAGTCCTGGGATTACAGGCATGCACCATAGCACATGGCCCATAGTCTGACTTTCTTAGATGATGGTGTTCTCTTGTGAGATTATCAATAGCATATACCTCCCTCTCTTTCTTCAGTCCCCATTTTCTCTTTCTCTATGGGATTGAGTCTGTTCTCTTTGAATGCCTCCTTTTTCAGTAATCTGTATTGCATTATACTCTGCTTGTTCTAAATGTATGTTGCAGTTTGGAATTAGGAGTGAGGAGAACACAGAGCATCCTCTTTTGAAGGATAGGATCATCTATTTTCCCAAATATGGAAAAACATATTTGTTGTATAATAGGACATTTGAAAGTTAAAAATAAATTATATGTAGACTTGATAATATTGGAGCTTGAAAAAAACTAAATTGCATGGATCCATTATAAATTATGTGCCATCTGTAGAAAATAGGTCAGACTAGCCCGTGTGCAAAATAAGCTGTTGAAAATGTGAAGTTTTTCTTAATCAGTGTTCAGATTCCCACATTTTAAGATCAACTAAGATAAAATGATTAACAAATAATACAAACTGAAAATTATACCTAAATTTTTTAAGTGTTTTTCTTAATTTTTAAACTTCTGTTTACTAAACATATAAAGCAAACTTTTCAGGTTGCAGTGTCCACTCATCTGAACCTATGATACAAGCATATTTTACAAAGAAAATATACTCTTGAGCTCAGCTGGTAGTCAATATAGAGGTGACGTATTCTGAAAGATCACTGACCACTGAATTATTTTGTTATTTGTATTTGCCAAATGTAGAATGAGTTAACAGTAATCAACAAATTAATTTCCATATCAAGAGAACAACATAACCTTAACTAAAAAATCTCAGAATGGAGAAGAGTGGGACATAAAAACATTCATTTGTGTAAGATAAATATAAAAGCTAATCCCTCACAGTAGGATACTGGACTGATATTTTCCTCTCTTCCCTCCCTCCTGGACTAATGGAATAATAGTTTTTACTCATTGCAAAATCATTAGCTGATCCTTTAACTTAAGTCCCACAAAGCACTATATGAAAACGTCTCAACTTAACTTTACAAAACATATCATTCTCTATTTTCTTTTGGCCACCTGAATACTTTCCCATTCCACAGGACAGTTTTCATTCCATAGATATTTATTGAGCATCTTATGTATATCAGAAAATGTGTTAGATCCTGGGGACATAGCAATGAATAAGACAGATGGCATACATTCTACTGGACGACATATCACCTTCGTCTTTTAGAGACCAACTAAAATTTTTAACACCTTCTCAACGTTTTCCTTCACAGAAAACATTGAATGCTGTAGGAGGACTTAAAATGCAGAAATGGACTGAAGATCAGTGTCCTACTTTTATCTGATTCAGATTATCCCTGTTGTTCCCCCCTAACAGTGACAAAGTAAACCTGTACCAGCCTGAAAATGTTTTGATAAAAGCACTGATTTTATTCTCTCTTGTCCTGTAAGAGACATGAAATTGGAATCCCCCTGAAATATCTCTGTGTCTTATTCACTTCTCCATATTAATTTGTGTGAATGAATACGATTTAAGTAAGGAAACAGCTGCAATAGACAGTAATAGACTTTAATATTCAATATTCCTTTTGGTATCATTTTCATACATTGCTAGTTATTACTATTTCTTAGGACAGCATAAGCTTATAAAGCAATTATATAAAAAAAAATCGTATGAGTACTGTGCTATCTTTGTAATACTAGCAAGAAGCCTTTTGTACTGATAGGGTTTAACTAAAGAATTACATGAAGACAGAAGATCTCAATTCGGCTTCCCATAAGGCATAAGACATGATTTTTCTGCTGTTGTACTTATGTATTACCTTTGGAAAACCTTCTCCTTTGCACACTGGGAGGGTATGTGTAAATTATTTTACAGTAAATATTGATATAAGCATAGGGCATCATGCTATCCTGAACAAATCTCAAACCAGAATAATGTGCTGAGTTTTCTTTCTAGGTCTTTTAATCAGCCGTATAGTCCAGTCTTTGCCAATCAGAAAACCGTATTTTGCTATCTCATCTTTAAATCCAAGGTTTGCATATTTAATTTCAAGTTAGGGAAGGTAAGGATGTGTAAAAGAAAATCTTTTGTTCTTTGTCACATTTTTCTTTCTCTTATACATGGAAGTGCTATGTATTAATATGTTTTCTTTATTTTTCAGTTTTGTAGAGACAGGGTCTTGCTATGTTGTCCAGTCTGTTCTCCAACTCCTGGCCTCAGCCTGCCAAAGTGCCGAGATTTCAGGCATGAGCCACCTCACCTGGTCCAATATGTTTTCTTTGAATTTATTTGTCAGCTCCCTTCACCAGTTATTATGTTAAAGCCCTGTATTTCCCTAACATTAGTCCTGACAAGACACATTGGAGAGATTCTCCGGGAGCTATTTCTTAGCCTATTTTGCTTGGCCTTTCAGGAATCTGCAGGCACTATCTCATTCTCAAAGTGTCTCCTATCTACTGTCTCTAGTTTTCTGCTACCATACTCTGGGTCTTCTCTAAGGTTTCCTCTTTTCTGTCTGTTCTTTCATTGTTCCTGTCTCTCAGAGTTCCTCTGGGTCTGTTGTCTGTTTTTTTGGTCGTGTGTTTTTTATGTTTTCTTTTGGTTTTTTTTGGTTTTTTTTGTTTTTTTTTGTTTTTTTTTTTTTTGAGACGGAGTCTCGCTCTGTCGCCCAGGCTGGAGTGCAGTGGCGCGATCTTGGCTCACTACAGCCTCTGCCTCCTGGGTTCAAGTGATTCTCCAGCTTCAGCCTCCTGAGCAGGTGGGATTACAGACATGTGCCATACCCAGCTAATTTTTTGTGTTTTTAGTAGAGATGGGGTTTCACCATGTTGGTCAGGCTGGTCTCAAACTCGCGACCTCGTGATCTGCCCACCTCAGCCTCCCAAAGTGCTGGGATTACAGGCGTGAGTCACTGCGCCCTTCCGGGTCTCTTTGTTTTTAACTCTGCTCATACTCCCTAGCTGATCTCCACTCCATGGTCCTCTGAAACCACTTGTTAGGATGAATACCATCATCCTCTTTCCAGCTCACAACTCCACTCTGGCACCAGATCCCTCTGTCCACCTGCCTAGGGAAATATTTCCTGCTCTGTCTTATGGGCACCTAATTCACAAGGGATCATATTCTTTCTGTTGTAGAAGGCAGAGATCTGGGGTCACCCAAATGACCCTCTCAATGCTGTCAATATGCCTGTTGCCTGTTGCCTCTACCTCTAGAATTTCCCTCTTTTCTTTTTTGGAGACAGAGCCTCACTGTCTCGCTCTATTGCCTAGGCTAGAGTGCAGTGGTGCAGTCTCAGCTCACTGTAGCCTCGATTTCCCATGCTCCAGCAATGAGGCCACCTGTCTCCCTAGTAGCTGGGACCACAGGCATGCACCACCGCACTCAACTAATTTTTTCTTTAAAGATGGGATCTCACTATGTTGCCCAGGATGATTTTCAACTCCTGGGCTCAAGTAATCCTTTAGCCTCAGCTTCCCAAAGTGCTGAAATTACGTCTGTGAGCCACTGTGCCTGGCCTAAAATCTCTCTTCCCTCAGCTGCTCCTGTCTCTCCCCTCTGCCACTGCCTGAGTTCAGACCTGATCCTCTCACCAGGCTCATTGCTGCAGCTCCCTGAGGGATTTCTCTGCAATCAGGCTTTCTCCCTCATTCCATTCTCTGCACTGCAGTCAGGCAAATTTTTCTACAAAACACATTGATCATGTCAGTCCCTGCTGAAACCACTTTGGGAGCTTTCCACGTCTCCAGGATCAACCAGTCTCCATTGTGGGGTCCACTGGGACATGCCTGATTGTCATCGGTGCCCTACAGCCCCTGCAGCACCTCTGCTCCAGCTACTCAGTGTTTCTGGTAATTTCTCAGACATGGGATGCTCTTTCACACCTCTAGGTCTTCCACTTGCGTCCATCTGCCCCTCATCCTAGCAAAGGCTTACACAGTCTTTCATTTTCCATTTTCTCTTCCAAAGTATTTTCATAGCCCCATGTACTCCCCTCCACCCAGCAGCTGTCACACTATCGTGGTTTCCTCTTTAATTTTCTTTTGCTGGAATTGTGGATTCTGACACTGCCAGGACTTGATCCATCTACCACTTTCCTATGTATCCATCGCTGGTATCCAACCCAGGCCTGACTCATCAGCACAGCCTGAATGAGGAAGAGCAATCCTGGAGAGTCTGGCTTTTTAAAATTTTTTTTTGAGACGGAATCTCGCTCTGTCACCCAGGCTGGAGTGTAGTGGCACCATCTTGGCTCCCCATAAGCTCTGCCTCCCGGGTTCACACCATTCTCCTGCCTCAGCCTCCCAAGCAGCTGGGACTACAGGCATCCGCCACCATCTGGCGTTGTGTGTTTTTTTTTTTTTTTTTAAAGAAAAAGAGGTCTTGTTAGTGTTAGAAACTGAAATTCCAAAGTCACCCTCAGACAAGGCAAACAAGATGAATTTGGAGGCAGTAATTCTTATTTCCTTTGCTTTCCTTCTTTCCATAGATCTAATGGTCTCACCTAACTACACTTAAAAACATTGTATAAGCAATCATTGTTTTTCTTTTTCCTTTCTTCAAAGAAAAAGAGATGGCTTCCCATTGTTTAAATCCCTTAAAGGATTGTTTCACTTTTTTAGAGAAAAACTGAGTCCTGGCATTCTTTTCCATTGTTTCAGTTTTGGAATATACAAAGCAAGAAGAGAAAAATTGTTTTCACTTACTCCAAAGGACACATTTGTTGAAGACTTTTAAACAAGTCTGGAGGGGAATGCAAGTAAATACCAGGCATCATTCCTTGAGTGTTGAAAATAGCCTCTATATAAGAATTATGCTGATGTTTAAATATTTTAAGGAAATTAATATTTGTAGAAATTACTGTAATTTAACATAGCTTCCAGGCATTTTATTATATCCATGTTAGAAGTGATTTTATATAAAGCTTTTTCTTAGTACCAGTAGAGAATATCGTCAGGTGAGCTTTCTGTCTTAGACCTCATATTGGGGGATTTAGTCATCAAGGACTTTAAAATGAATTCTTTCTCTAGGCTTAATCCTCTTAGAATGGGAAAGGTATGTTAGAATAGGAAAGGGGCCAAAGGTATCATTTATGAATCTCTTCATTTTCTGTATTAAGAAATAAATGCAAAGAGGTCAAATGATTTGCTTTAATGGCTGCAAGGCCAACATAGGTGGCAAAGTAATTTAGAAGCAAAATGTCTGTTTCTCTTACACAAGTGAGTGGATCTAATTGACTGTGATTGTGTTGTTCAGGCACTTTATATCCCAGTTGCGTTGGGAAATACTGTACAATAAAAGCATGGGCTTTACAATCTGATGTAATCAGTGAAATTCTGGTTCTGCCATGTGCTGACTTGAGGAGCTCACCTCACATTTCTGATTATTGCCATTGCCCTCATGGGGGTGTGAAGGAAAATAAATGTGGTTCTGCTTGAAAAGAGAATGTGAAACTGTACCCTAAATCTTCCTTCACTCTCCTCGAAAACTAAAATCTGTCTTTTCATTAGTTGCTTTGTGTTCACCTGTCCTCTGGAAGCTAGTATTTTCCAGAATGTATATTTGTAATCCAGGTTAAATGTCTTTTAATTTCAACATCATGCTGTGTCCTCAGTTTTAGCAGCCTATTTCCACATAATGTAGTGTGTTTTAAGGAAAATATGACTCACTCACTTTTAGGAATGAATTTATTAATCTATTCTGCCAGTGCCTGCTCTACGCTAGGCATTGGGGATAAATACAACATGCTAAAAAAATACCTTGAAATATTGAATAATATGATCTTGCCAATCACCAGTGAGAATCCAGTTTTAGGTTTGCTGAAGGGGGTTAAGGCCATTCCAATACGAACTTTTCAGTGTTTCTAGTGGAGATGGTGGGATACGTTTTCTTTAGGTGAAGGACACTATTTGACTTGCTGATGCATACTTAAAACAAACGGAGATTTTATTAAGCCCCGCAGATAAATTCACATGAATTTTCATTATTCACTTAGCTTATTATTTCCTTTGGGATAGTGACCACAACATGAAATAAAGGCCTGTTCAAAGAGTTAAAAATAAGATTTTTTTTTTTACCTATGGTAATATATTTCCAAGTTACTGTAGCAAAAAACGATATCACTTTACACTCCTGCGAGTGTGGGTTATCTTGCTGCAACCTAAAGCTATTTTTGTTCTTTAATAGGTAGAAAGACTTTCCTTGGGATGGAACTGAGGGGCCAAATAGCCACTGCTACAGGGTACTGTATTTAGCTGGAGTCAAGAAAATTTTTGCATGTTAAACCACAGATAGACAACAAAATGAAAATTGCAGTTGTGCCTACTTTGATTTCTTCTAATGAAGCTTAATTTTTTTCCCCCCTGAGATGGAGTCTGTCTCTGTTGCCCAGGCTGGAGTGCAGTGGCGCGATCTTGGCTCACTGCAGCCTCTGCCTCCTGGGTTCAAGCAATTCTCTGCCTCAGCCTCCCAAGTAGCTGGAATTATGGGTGCCCACCACCACACCCGGCTAATTTTTGTATTTTTAGTAGAGACAGTGTTTCCCCATGTTGGTCAGGCTGATCTTGAACTCCTGACCTCGTGATCCACCTGCCTCGGCCTCCCAAAGTGCTGGGATTACAGGCGTGAACCTGCAAAAAATCACCAAAAGATTTAAAACAAAACTGTAACCCCAATCAGTTTTTTTAAAAGAAATTAAAAGCCATTGTATCTTCTGTTAAATATTTATGTAGTCAACTATTGATGTCTTCATTTAAATCTGTCTTTTGAGATGCAAATTAAACATGGGTAGAGAGGTAGGGGAGGTGGAGAATCTTTCCCATGAAAATGTTCAAGTGCTTGGTTTTTTTCTGAACAGACGTCTTACTGTTTTTCTCTAGAAAACATGCATGTACTACTTTTTAACAGAATTTTTATTTGGCTTTATAAAATTTTAAAATAGCCTTTTGGGATACTTAGGGATGTCTCAAGAAGTTTTATAAAGGTTTTATCATGTAGAACATTGCAGCATTATACAGTTCAATTAAATACATTTTTCAGGCAAGCTTCAAGATATGTTTTTGATAAATTGTTTTAGAGTCTTATATAGCAAGTCTTCATGTAGGTATACTTTTTAGTGTGTGTGTTCATTGAAAAGCCATACTTGTTCTTAATGGTATAGGATATTCGTTTTATTAGCTTTTTTTTTTTTTTTTAAACTTCTCCAGAGTCTCGTGGAATTTAGGCATTACATTCTTTTAGAAACTGTTCTTTTATTTCTTTACATCAGAGACCTTGAATATTTAATTTACTTTTCAGTAAAGCTGTCAGTCGTAATCTACAATTTAAAAAAAAAAACCTAATAAAACAAATCCTCATTTCACAATTTAAACCTTATTGAGTCTAATTCACTAGAGCTGCAAGTTTATTATTCTCCTGCAGTTTGACGTGTCTCCAGTTGTAATTGTGTTGACCCTTCAATGCATTAAATCTCCCCAGTGCTTATCAAACTGGGAGAGATAAGTCTACAATTCGGAACTTCATTAAATATCTCATTTATATTAAACAGATGATAGCTTCTAACAGAAATAATAATTTGTTCAGCTGAAGGAAGTGCGACAGTTGTGATTTCATGTGTGAGATGAGCACTTTCTCTCTTGCTGTGCTGTGTGGTGCTGCCCTCCTGCCCACTCCCCCACATTGGCCCTCCCTGACTGGCTAACACCAAAGCATCATACCATCCTTGTGGTGAACCTCAGAGCCTGCGTCGTGAGGATTGTAGTTAAATGTACTTTGTTCTTCCTTAAAACAGATTTTTTTGAAGGCCTTACTAATGTGAATTTCTTACTATATTATTTTTATGTAAAATATGACTTATCAGACACAGCTAACTGTTTAAAGAAATGCCCCATACCATTTTAATTTATTGTCATTGAAATTGACATACATTCATTGCTTATTTATTAGATTGTATATGTTTTTGAAATCCTCTTTGTGTGCTTTATTAGAATATTTGATCCCGATTTTCATATTGTTCTGCACACTACTAAAGTGATTATTGCAGCTGCTGTCTTAAACATTACAGTAAGATAATACCATGATTATTCTTAATTTCTAGCAGGAGGAATTTAAAATCAGTGTGTTGTTCAAGACACGTGAGCTGATAAATAGAGTCTTTAGGTCTTGTAGAGTAGGTAATAATTCCACCAGCACACATGGAAAAATGTGTGCTAATTGTTAGATGTATTTACATACCATAAGTATAAGATCTGTAGCTAAATTGCAGCTTCCATTCTAATAAAGCACACCTTTTATAGGGTAACATCTAGTAAAGAATTCTGAATTGCACTGTAACTTAAATTGACTTAAACAGACACTAACAGTCAAATTCGAAAAATAAACAGCAAGCTCTGATTTTTAAAAAGCCTTAAATATACATATTTTCCCCTCAGTGGTTGAAATCTGACAGAACTTCATGGGAGGCATGGTATAAAGTGGCACAGAAAGGTGGTCATTAGGCAGAGCTGTCATCACAAATTATTTTGGTACAGGGTGAAAAGTTCTAGTTCATTGGTACCCTGTTGGATACAGGCCTTGGGCAAGTTGTTATAATTCCCCCATGCTGCTCATGGGCCTCCAGGTACTGATTTTTCTTTGCCTCCACCACCCTTACTCTGTAGCTAAAGTCACCTGGGAGCCCCCCTGGACCTGAGCAGCCCGTTGAAACAGCGTTGGATGATAGAGAACGAAGAATTTCCCATTCCCTCTACAGTGGGATTGAGGGGCTTGATGAATCGCCTAGCAGAAATGCTGCCCTCAGTAGGATAATGGGTGAGTCAGGTAAAACTCTGTTTATCACATCTTATTTTGATGCTTTCATTGGTTTACTGAGAGGTTATTAGTGTAATATTAATGTAAATAAAAATATAATGTTTTCAAGACAAAGGAGAACAGGTTTATTAAAATCATTCAGGAAGTGTTCATGTGAAGAGGTAAATCAACCCATTGATTTAAGTGACTTGTAGATCCTGTAACATGAGGAAAGAACCAAAAAGAAAGGGATCATATGGAAATGTTTTCCAGTGATCAAGATATTCTTTACTTACTTGAAATAATAAGTGAAGCTATGTTTAAAAAGAAATAAAAATTTAATGGCTTATGGCAAGAAGGATTCAAAAGTTACATATCATTCACAGTGGTACTGCCTGGAGGGGGAGAAAAAATATGTATATATAGATATATGCACACATATGTAAAATATTCACATGTATTTGATTTGTATTTAATAGGATGTTACTGTATTTTAATTGTATTTTACTTTTCCGAAGCCTTAGTTTTAAAATCCCGAAACTAGTCTTCTGCATCCTTTGTTTGGATTCAGTACCATCCTATCTGCATGGCTCCCAGTGGGTAATGAGGTTATTAGCACTTGCTTTGCAGCAGTTCAGCTTTCTACTAACAGATCCAGTTAATAAAGACTTGCTTTGCCACAGGAGTGGTTGGATTTACTGAGTTGCTCATCTTGGGATTAGCTTGTGAGAGTTTTCAAATTTAAAACACAAGAAGTCATTTTGATTAAAGTAACACCTGACATAAAGCACTTTTATTACTGGTATATTTTACAAGGCTTTCATTTAAAGTAAAACCCTAAATTTAACTCTATTTCGAGTACATTTAATGCAGATTTGGTATAATTCAAGTTTCCATTATGGAGCCTCATTGAAACAGTAATTTATTCATCAGTGGGTGTTTATGGAAAGTCTGCTATTGGCAAGATATTGTGTATATACTTTTGCTGTAGATACAAAGATGAGTAAGAAGCAATCTCTGCCTTCAAAGAACTTTCTACTGGGCATCATCAAAAACATACATAAACATGTCTAGTAGAATTGTCTGTTTTTCTTCCTCTAATCTCTCTAGCTTTCTAATTTAGAAAAATTGCTGAATATGTAATTTCTTGTCTTGTTACTTGTGGAACTTAGACAAGCCAGCTTTCTGGTTTTACTTTGTCAACGTTTTTCTTTTTACCTGCTTGGCATAAGTGAACATCAGGGAAGAGTGCCACACCTATTGGGTTGAACACCTGTAGGTGAAAGGTTTTGTACATAGTTTCTCACTTTTAAATCTTTGCTTATTACTTACCACTCTCTTCACTGCTGTTGGTTTTTCCGTACTTTCTTGGCTTTGGTATAAAACTTTATCTTTGTTAAATTATCTTTTTATTGATGAAATTTCAGTCCCCTTTAGAGAGAAAGAGTGTGCATGTGTCCCTAGATAATGTGTGCACACAAAGTGATATGCTGTAATTTCCCCTTTATTATAGGAACATAGGACTTGCCATACTGGATCAGACCATTGGTCCACCAGTTCCTGTAACCTGCGTCCTGCCTCCAATCCCTGATGCTTCAGAGGAAGGCGAAAAACTAAAACTAAAACTCAAACCAAAAAAAAAATCCCTAAATTCAGCTAGTGACCTTTTGAAATGCTGTATATATGAGTTGAAGAGTCATTCATTTTCTTCCTAGTCTGTTGCCCTGATTTTGTTAGCTACAGCTTTATTAGTCCTCTTCAGTTTGCATTATAGTTGACATTGTTTCCTCTTCCTTCTGCTAGATATGTAATGAACTCTTAATACTCCAGATGCTTCCTCAGGGCAGTAACTTCTCTCCCAGTTCTCTGTTTTGTGATGTGTATGTCCTTTTACCACTTTGGGCTGGGGGTGACAAATGCATTACTATTTAAGGGTAGGCTAAGTTGATGTTTTTGTGATTTGGATATTTTCTTAAGATAATTTTTTACAATTTGTACCAGAAACTAGGGATTCTAAATCGTTTTACCCTGACAAGTGTATATGCGTATTTTGATTCATCTTGTGTTTTGCAAATCTGAAAATTCCTCACTCTTCGTCAGTCCTTATTCTAATATCATTGGCCATAATAATCAAATGCGATTTGTGATATAGTTACCACTTAAAGTTAGAAATCCTGTTCAAGATGTTACCTTGCAACAGAACGCCGAAACAGGGCATTAGGAGAGGTATGGGGCACAAAATTTAAGAAACTTGACAAATCACAGTTTCTGAACCAAAATTTGGATGTATGTTTTTCTGAGTCATGAATTCCGTAGTTCCAAAGACATTAGAACATTGGATTTCCATTCCTCTAAACCAATAACAACAGTATTTATTGAACTGCACATTATCTAGGCATGTGGAAATTCCTCAGACTGTTTGGTTAATAATTGTCTTCTGAATGTTTGGAATCACTCCTATGTAGACATTGGTGGAGGTGAAGGTATTTACTTCATGATCTGCTATGATACAAAAACAACTTTGTATTGAAATTCTGGCTCATTACCTTAGGGAGTTATTAATTTTGTGTTAACAGGTTGAATTTTCATATGGAATAATCAATCCCCTGTGTAGGACTCTAGGCTGCAGGGAGCTTTGAGGCTTTGTGATGCATTCCTTTGTGAACACATCCCTGGAGAAAGGCTTTTAAAAGCTATACCCCAAAAGGAAGAGCTTCTAGAGTTGGAAGGATGTCAGATGCCATCAGTCACACTTTCCCACTTAACAGATGAAGGAACTAAGTCCTGATATCCCAGGATGTTTTTGTTTTACTTTGTTTTTGGCTATTTCCTTTTTCTAAAAATAGCCTTCTCTAGGGAATGCTGAGATCTTCATTCTTTATTAGTATCAATGTATAATTATCTACATCTGTAAGCAGATATTCGAAAGTCTCCATATCTTGTTCTATCCTGGCACCTATGGTGACTAAAAACATCAAAGACGTTAAATCTTTGAAAAGCCTTCAAACCACGTACTCCAACCGACTTACCTTATATGTCGGGGAGTTATGGAGCAAATAAATTAAGTAACTTAACAGAAGCTGCACACTTTCTGTACTTCTGAACCAAAATTTGGATGCATGCTTTTCTTTATCATGAGTCACACCTGATTAGGATTTCCTTAGCTTTTATTGGGGTCAGCCAGGATTGTAACCAAAGGCAAGATTTCTCTGTCATCTCTTTTGACAGAATTCCCACTATCATGGATTTTCTAATAGTCCTGAACATTTATCAGAAAGTAATCTGTAGTGGGCCTGCCTGCATAGGATTCTTCCTTTGAAAAGCCTTAATTTTTCTAATGGTCTCTCTTAACTAACAATCAAAAACAGCAACAAGGCAGCTGGGCACAGTAGCTTATGCCTGTAATCCCAAAACTTTGGGAGGCCCAGGCAGGTGGATCACCTGAGGTCAGGAGTTCAAGACTAGCCTGGCCAACATATGAAACCCTGTCTCTACAAAAAATACAAAAATTAGCTGGATGTGGTGGTACACACCTATAGTCCCACCTACTGGGGAGGCTGAGGCAGGAGAATCGCTTAAACCCGGGAGGCAGAGTTTGCATTGAGCTGAAATCGCACCACAGCACTTCAGCCTGGGCAACAGAGTGAGACTCCATCTCAAAAAAACAAAACCAAACTAAACAAAAAACAGCAACAAGGATGATCGGCATAACTAATTTAACCAGCACATCCATTTCATACAAGACATCACACGTTGTCATTTGTAAGCCTGGGACTTTAACTTTTTCTCAACTTTTTTAGCTGAATAATTTTTCTTTTTAAAACAAAACTGAAATCTGTTGTATCCATTTTAGAATTTATCTCAGTAGTTTGTATATTCATATATATGTGGTGAGTTTAAGAAGACGTTATATTTAGAATATTTTTATCTTGTTAGCAATTTGACATAGAAAAATGGAACATTAATGTTTTTATTGTGAGTCATGTCACTGGCACGGTTTTCTTCTGGTATCATATGTGGTGTTACCTTCTATGTAAATTTGCCAATGAATAAATGTTTAGTGAACAAACACTTTGTATTTCCTTGTTTCACTCCTTTACAAGATACTGACTAGTTTACTTAGTTTGTAGGTCACTAGTTAACTAGTTGAACAAAGAGGAAAATTAACCTATCAAAAATAAATTGAAGCCTTCTGAAGTCATAGAAGGTTTCACTTTTATGATGTGCCAACTACTAGCAAATATAATTAAGGGATCGTTGTATTGTCTTTGTGGAGCTTAGTAGAATATGTAGTTAAGTTTTTTAGCTGTCCGTTACCCTAGTATAATCTTGGAGCCATAACCCAAAACTATATTCCTGGCAAGCATGTTAAGAAGCAGAAAATAGAAATTTTCAAATCTTGTGAAATGTTAGCCTTTCAAATCATGGGTGAGAAAAAAAAAAAGCTAAATTATTTTCTTAATATGAGGAAGATTTCTTGCCATTTATTTATGTATACAATATTGTATCACAACAGTTAAGGTACAATATTTCTTCTCAGAACAACGGATTACAAAAAAAAAAATCATATGCACCTTTCAGTGTTCCATATTGCTTATTAGGCCATCTCTCAGAATATATTGTGTAAAACCAGGAGTTTTACTTTTGTGTTTAAAAGTGAATGCAGTATGATTATACTGTAATATTTCCTTTAAAAAATTATGCCCGTGTGGGGACTTGGTATTTAATATTGTGACATGCCTCATCAGTGGTGAGTTGTCCATTGGGGTAACTGGTTTTATAATTCTATATGCTTTGAAGAAAAAAGTATGTCTTGAGAAAGAAACATTTCTTTGGCTAATAGTGCTAGAAAGTCCTATCTTATTGATGAATATTACTTTTGCTGAACAGGTTTCTATCCTAATATTCTAACACTGTATTAGAAATAAATGAGTAATTTGAATTCAGGTAAGGGAAATGGCTAAGTATTACATTTGATTTACATTTTTATCATTAGCATTTATATAAAGCTGTTAATTTTCATAGTTTGTCAAAATGGGTGCATTTGAAATCTAAGTAGAAAGTTTTTCTTGGTAACATGCTGAGAAGAGGTTTCAGTGAACTTACAGTATTACTACAATAGTGAAGTTGATGTTAAATGAGGAATGCAGTTGAAATCTCCAGCAAGTTTACTTTTTGTGAGTTATCCTGAAAAGATGTAGCAATTTAAATAAATTATGTTCCTTTGCTGAAATGTCTAGAACAATACCATACAGACTTTTAAAAATCCTTCAAGCTTGTGTATGCCGTCCCAACATCCTCAGTCATGGCCTGAAAAACCTCTGGCCACTCAGCTCCTAATTTTTTGCATCAAGATCACTCCAGGTATCTCTCTAGGCTTTGTTTCTGGTGATACTCATCTTTTAAGTGTCACCTGACTGCACCGTGGACTTTTCTCCATCATGCATTTAATAATGATGTTGCTGGTATCTAAAATAAATGTCATCATTTCTTCTGGCAGAAAAGATAATATTGACCTAATTCTGATGTTAATTTTGCCAAGATTTCCAGCACTTTCTACCCTCAGTGACCCAGGCAATTACAACACAAGTGAATGGCTTTGGGCTCATCTCTCACACCACCATACAATTATCACTGCTTGTAATTCTTTCTCCTTCACTAGGGCATACGCCCTTTAAGGACAGAGACTGTGTCTTACAGTACATGCTCTGCGGCAGTTGCTCAATGAATGAATGAATGAATGAACAATGCAAGTTAGTGGGGCTTCTTTGTAAATTTCCTGGTAAAATTTTTCAAAAGACATTCATAGTTTAGAATGCATGTAGCATTTTCACTTTAGAAGACATTTGATAGAGTATCTTTGGCTTTAGGAAACTTAAAATCAGAAAAATTGCATGCGTTGCCCTGAGCTATACAGTTGTAGCATCAGAGGTATAGACTCGAGGTCTCTGTTTGACAATCATTTATGAAAAATAAATGTGCTAAATTCTGTTTTGTTCTACCAGGTTGAGCAGATATATGGAAAGTTAGACATTTACTAATATAGCAAAGTATTAAAATTAATAGATGTAACACTTTGATCGATGTCTAGAATTTCTCTTCTTTTTTCACTGGACAGGTAAATACCAGCTGTCCCCTACAGTGAATATGCCCCAAGATGACACTGTCATTATAGAAGATGACAGGTTGCCAGTGCTTCCTCCACATCTCTCTGACCAGTCCTCTTCCAGCTCGCATGATGATGTGGGGTTCGTGACAGCAGATGCTGGTACTTGGGCCAAGGCTGCAATCAGTGATTCAGCCGACTGGTAAGCTCATCGTCCAGGGTTGGAAAACATGAATTAATTACAGTCGCATCTTATGTTTAAGTGGCTTACCACTAAATACAGTTAATCATTTTTTTAATAGCCATGCTCTGTCTTAATGGTTTTTATACACTTAATTATCACTCTTTTAATAAAAGATTTTGCCCCAACCCTGTAAATTTAATTGTTTTAGCCTTCAAGAGCTACAGTTAGTATTGTAACCAAAACAACAACAGAACTACTACCAATCAAAAAACCATGCTCATTTGTTTTTCAGTTTCACTATTTATGGTTTATTTCACATCTGTGTTAATTTGATGCATTGTTTTTCAATTAAATTCTTGTCATCTCCTTAAATCGATTCCAACAATTAGATAACTTTGCAAAACTAACAGTTGATGTGTTCTAAGAGTGGGAGGAGGCTTTTTTTTAAGTGTGTGTTTTTTGTTTTTGTTTTTTTCCAGAGTGCTATAACCATACTGTTTAAAATGCTTTGTAATTGCTTTTAACATAGTGACTTCTGGGGCACTCCCTGCTAATTTTTTTTTTCCTGTGTCTTTCAAAATAGAAGAAAGCATTTGATACTAGTGAGCCAATGTGTGGCTCATGAATGCAGATGTGTGTCTTAATGTTTATGCCTAGTAATTATATACATCAATAAGCAAAAGCAAAGCTCCTCTTGGGGACGACCTCACAAGGTTGTAGTGATAATTAACACAAACCATGTGAAGTATTGTACCAGAATTTTCTCATTGCCCTTTCTCTGGGGTCTTTTATGAATATATCAGCAAAATCATATTTAAATGTTATGGTGTTTCTTCACCACTTAGCCATTCCTGCTTCCTACTGTTTTTCTGGCTTGTGTCAACATTAATATTAGATAGGAGGTGTCTGGGGGACTGGCATTTATTTGCGTTAACATTTTTAGTAATGATCTTAACAAAGTGAACCACTCCCCCCCGTCCTCTTCCTTAGCTCTCCGCATGAACACACAAAATACAGTTCATTTATCTGTTAATTATGAAGATGTTCCCTTGGAATAAATCACACCTCTTATTTGGGACCTTGAAAAGTTCATCTCTAGCTTTTCATTTCTTTCTTTTTTAATTCTCTTTTTGAAAGCGCAGGATTTAAAAATAGAACTACACTCAAACCTGCATGATAATGGCCCCATCTTTGAATGAGGTTTTTGGTTAAACATAGAAGGGACGACTACAATATAAAGTAAAAACCCATTTGAAATCTGCAGATGGTGTTACATTGACTGCTGTGTCTCATATCTCTTTCTGAAAATGAAAGTAACAACAGAGAAAGCAAGGATTAGATAGACGTAGTATTCATCTTAGGGACAAAAGTCTTTAAATCTCTACCATGATGAGAAATTGTGGAGGTGGTCATAGTCTTTGGGGCCTTATAAAGCAGTATATTAGTGAGAATAGATAAATAACTAGAAGGGATAGATTGTGGCATTAATTTCCCTAAGGGGGATTTGCAAAATGGTGAGGACTTGTATAATTTTGCTGTGGGGAATGTGGGGCAAAGAAAATAATATGAATGAAGGGTTATCCAAACAAGAATGGCAGCTGTTCTGAATCACAGCAGAAAATGCAGGCATTTCCAGCCTGACAATATCTTCCCTAATCCTTGATGAAAATGTTATGAAAACAAAAGGCCAATAAGACAGGATTAATAACTGGAATTTTAATAACATTAGGGGTCAAGATATGGTTACATTCTTTAAAGAATCAGCTGTCATTCCTGCAATCTAACTTGTTAAATATTCCAGTGTACTGTTTATTGTGTCTGAAATTAGTTTAATGGGAATATTGATAGGGAAGAATTAATTTTGTCATAATTTAAGAGTAGTTATTTTAGAACTCTTGCTAATGCACAAACTCATTTGACATTTTAAATTGTATCTGTAGTTCACTGCACAGTTGTTGAAGGCTATGTCAAATGGCTAAACTTATTTGTTTGCTTATAGAATGTACTGTTTTCAATACTTTAATCGATTGAAAGAACATTAATAATGTGTTTCTGGGGGAAAGGAAATAACAGCAAATTCTAATCTTAATGGCAGCATAATTTTAGAGGATATAAAATTCAAGATGCACCAATACGTGGTTTTCAGGCAAGATTGGCAGTGACAATTTGTATTTCTTTGAAAAATCTTTTACCAACGATTTCTACTAACACTGTAGTTCAAATGCATTCTGTTCGCAAGTTTGGTGCAGTATTGGAGTTCAGGTTTTAAATTATTCCAGAAAAGGTAAAAATAATTGGGCAGCATGTACAGAGTGACTGAAGACATCCACTGACAATATATAAAAGAATTATTGGAAATGTATTATTTAGAGTTTGCTGCTGCAAGATTGTGTCATATTACTTATCATATGGGTTTTAATTTTTTACTTCTAGAAGTGTGTTTTTTTTCACTTGGATGCATGTGCTCTCATCTTTATAAACCATTTACACCAAAGCATAGTAGTATATGAAGAGGCATCTGAGGGTAGGTGTCTGTCATCATAATTTGTATTACTTTGATAATTTGAGATAGTCTTCATTGGGTGATGACTGACTTATTTAGTAGTTAGCAATTTACATGGGGCTTTCGCCTTAGGTTGCTGAATTCTCTCATTAGCTTTTTAAGTGGATGAGACAACTATTCTTCTTATTGAATATATTAATACATAATGAGCTGAAAACATTTCACGTCACCCTACCCAGTGGCGTGGCTTTTGCCTGCCATCTTACTTTTCACACTTTTAGCATAATTCTTTAAGAGCCAACTCTCATTTCATGCACAGTAAATTGCAGCTAAATTTCTGATGTACATCCAAAGGTTGACTGTCTTTTTACTAGTATGGATGATAATTCTTATAAGGCCATAAAGGGTTACAAAAGCTTGCTTCCATCAGAAACATGAGCAAGACTATCATAAGTTCAGCTGACAGTGGAAGGAGCCCTGGGCATTTTTAGTGTGCTCAGTCAGCTGTAGAGGGATATTCTCTCACCTGACCAGATAGGTAAGGTGGCTAGACCTGATATAGTAGAGCTAGTATACTTACTTACCCAATGTGCCCAGCACAGAGAAAACCTTTTTCATATTATGAACAATGGCTAGAACACCTTATAGCACTTTAGAATGTGTTCACAGATTTTTACAAACAGGAGTGATTCTGGGACATCTTGCATTGGAGGAACACTTCAGAAGGCATCCCGTTACCAGGGATTTGCCACATGCTTCCTTATCATCCCCATTTGAGCCACTGTGTTGGTGTCACCAAAATCAAATGTCATCTAAACTTAGTCATGTTCTTCCTGACTCTCATATACTGTTTTTTCACTCATCTGTGCATCCTCAGCCTCTGTTTCATGCTTCTGGTATAGTATTTTTCTTGTGAGCTCATAGAGTACAGGGATCTTTCTTATCTGTTATTTGGACCTATGTCTGGTACAAATAACAGTGCCTTAATCAGAATAGGTTCTAATCAATGTTTGTTGAATTGATTTATTTGTTGATTTAATATTTCAGAGAAACTGCAGCCTTATGAAATGGCATGCCATAATGACATATTTTTTCTTTCCTTAAAACACAACATAAAAGATACATAAGAAGGCTAGAATATACTCTTTTTGGAACTTCTATTTAATTACAACTTATATGGTCACTTGTTCACTGCTAGTATTTGTATATAATATATGACAGGTTTCCTGAAAAATTCAGCCGTTCCAATATCAGTCTCATTTTTTATAGTCACCTTGAAATAATTCTGTATTGTCAAACAGAGTGAAGAAGCAGGAAAGTAGAGAAGGAGGAAATTCACATGGAGAAAGAGTTACTCTAAATGTTAAATTAATTTTGTATTTTTCTATTACCTTCTATACAGCCACAGTTTTTTTTTAAATGGACTGTATTTGTGTTATTTATTTCAATTTTTCTTGAGGAATATACATATGTATATTCACATTTGCAGGTATGTATGAACCTCCCTAAAATGGATGTGTGCTATTTTTAGTAAATATTTTTATGTTTATATTTTTCTTCACTCCAGCTCTTTGAGTCCAGATGTTGATCCAGTTCTTGCTTTTCAACGAGAAGGATTTGGACGTCAGAGTATGTCAGAAAAACGCACAAAGCAATTTTCAGATGCCAGTCAATTGGATTTCGTTAAAACACGAAAATCAAAAAGCATGGATTTAGGTAGTGAGTACAATCTCCATGAATCTTTATCTAAATAAGGTTTAAATGCTTTCAGGATAAAATTGATGGTCCCAAACAGATGTCTGTTTACTTTGAGAAAATAAATGTGAAATGTAGCAATTTGGCAAAAATTAGTTTTTCTCCCAGTTTGAGATAACGATATTACTCATAAGTGGCATGTTTACATAATATGCAATATGTTAATATATATGTTTTCTTAAGAGAATGGAAACAAACACATGTGCATATCATACTATGTCCATGTATCTTTATTTTACACAATGAAATGTTTTAACACTTTGGCTATTAAAAACCAGTTTCATTGAAATTGTATTAGGTTGGGGGTGGGATTTTTCAACTAGAAGAGAAAATTTTGGAGAGAAACCATTATCTCAATCCATGTCTGGAATTTGGTTACTTCATGATGTCTTCCTTTCATTGCTGTTCTTTAAGGTTTATTTATTGGAAACTTTCATGTTTTGATAATTAAGGCATTTAATCAAAGTAGTAATTTGAGAGTATTTCTTATAGAAAGCATTTAAGAGCAAATGAGAGGAGGAAATAATCATAGTTGTTCAAACACCAATCAGGTGTGTCTCTTTAAATCCAAATCCACCAAAAAAAAAAGTAAAATAATTAAATCTATACACTGAATGATTTAAAACCTTTGTTAATCAACTGTAACTTATGCTGTTCTCTGGTGGCTGTTTGTATTCCAAGACTAAAAGCATTAATTTATCATATGCATAAAGAAAAATTTGATGATGCATTGCCTTGGCTAATTATGATATGCTAACATATAACACACATGTCTGTGAAATGAAATGACTGGCATATTGCATGGAGACACTGCTTTTTTTTCCTCCTTTTTTGATTATGAATGTTTGCTTGATGTTTCATAGTATTTGCATGAAATATTAGCTGAAGATCGTCACCTAACTGAAAAGATCTGGGAATGGTGGAAGCATGATGGGCTATGGGAACTAACTGGGCTAACCATTATACATTTACCTTTTAACAGTAGCTGACGAGACTAAACTCAATACAGTGGATGACCAGAAAGCAGGTAAGAATGGACAGTTAGACTGTTGCCATAGAAACCATGGCCTACAGAGCTTATCACAATTATAGAGCTGCCAATCATATGCCATGTAAACATACATATTGCAGTCTTACACAGATGTTTTCATTGTGAGAAATCAAATTACATAAGAAATATTTTCTATTAGTAGAAATTTATCAATGGTGTACTTACTAAATAGGAATATAATTTACTGCTTCAAAAAGGCTAGAAACAACCTAGATTTTCTTAATTATATTCATGTAAAGATGTTTTATCCCAATTTTTAAAAAGTCAAAATCCTGCAAACATGATCTGTTATGGTAGACTCCTAGGTTTTAAGTCATCTATGTGATGTCTAGGTTAACATCCCAAAAGTGATTCTCAGAGTGGTGATTTTGATTTGAAAGATAGTAGTGCCAATATAAATATTTTTCATTGTAGGACAACGTCCGGTATTGCTATCATTAGTCATTCAGAAAGGCTTATTCTTTTTATTGATGCTGGAATTAGCTTATAGTTAACCTGACATTGTATTAGACTATATAATGCATATGGCTTCATATCTTAACTTTGTGAGCTTGTTCTAAATTCATTACTTCTAAAATACTGTTAAATTGTTCCATAGAAACAATGGATTACATTGAATTGGGATTGTATTATAGTCATCGATTTTGCTTTTTATGTTATTATTGTGTGACAGTAATCACAGGAAAGTCTTTTAAGTGTAGTTAACATGCTTTGTATAATTGACCATTTATGACATAAGTTTGGAATAGTGTTTTAATCTGTATCCAGTATAATGTAGTTACACTACTTAGCGCTAATTAGCTTCAATTTGCCTTTTTAACCTGCAGTAGTAAATTAGTTTTAGCGTGCTTAAAAAATGTATATCCCACATATATATGTAAAAATTATTGTGGACATGGTTGGAGTTATACTCAGTGGAGTATAAGATAGGTCGTAAAAAATACATCTAATAAATCATAAGATTAACTGTATTGCGAGGCAATTAACTGTAGCCTTAGCCCTTACTCAGTTGTTTGTTGTTCTTATGAAACCTAAAGTTTATTGAATCAGAGCTAAAGAGAAATGTTATAGGATAGTTCACATATGTGAAATAGTAGTTTTTAGAGTTAGCAGTATTTTGTACTTTTCAAGCAACAACGCCGATCCGACTAAATAGTCATAAAAACCAAATTGAGCTGCTCAGGTTAAAGGACCTGACTTCATATACAATATCAGTTAGGTAAAATAAGAAAAATACCTAATTTAACCAACTCACAGCTACTATAAGGAAAAGGACAGTTTATTGTGATCTACAACATAATGATATACAAGTTATAACTCAATGCATTAGATAACTTTCATGGAAAGTCATTACATAAGTTTCAAGGCAGATTGTATAGTCTAATCAAAAATCAGACTGTGCTTTTGTGTTTTAAAGGGTTAGATTCTAGAGAAAAAGATTTTTTTTTTTTTTTTTGCACTTTGTGCAGTCTATTCTACCAAATTAAATTAGAAAATCTTGGGGCAAAAAGTTGTTACAAAGATATCAAAATACTTGGTCTGTTGATTTTACATCTAAATGAATAAAATACCTAAAGTAGATATTTTATTATGTCCCTGTCCTCTAATATTAGATGGTGAAAAGATTTTCACTTATCTTTCTTTCGTCACTTCACTTGACTTTTCAAGAAAGATTATGATTTTATAGATTAGTCCAAAGGTTTTTGGGAGAATCATAGTGGCATCTTAGCATTGAGCATCTGTCTAACCTAGCCATAAGCCTTTCATAATGAAAATTGAATTATATTTCCCTCTGCCCCTTGCAAAAGACCTCCCTCCCTCCCTTCCTTCCTCTCTCTCCCTCTCCTCCTTCTCCCTCTCCCTCTCCCTCTCCCTCTCCCTCTCCCTCTCCAGGCAACAGGGATATTACTAAGTAGGAATAAAAACCAGATCTAGGAAAATAGTATGATTATGATTTCCCTCTTTTTTTTTCTTCCAGATTTAGGAATCTTGTATCATATTTTGGGGATAAATATTTCTCCCCAAATTATAACAAGGGAGAACAGGTATAAGAGAATTGGATTTCTAATGGTTTCATTCTTGAAATATAAAGATTAGCAAAGTATGCTAATGACCTAGAAGATTTGTGTAAAGTAAGAGCTTAAAATACTGTTTTAAAATTAAGACAAAATATACTGATTTTTATGGTGTAAAGACAATCTTTTGCATGTATTTTACATACAGAAAGACTTTTTCAATTTTCATTACTGTAAAATGCTAAGTTTGTATTGTTAGGGAATCCTTCTAATTTTTTTCTAAAGGTACTTGACTGAATCAATGTATTAGGGATTTTAATAACTTCATTGAGAAATCCTAACATATCATTCAAAATCTTTGTTATAGTTTCTTGGTCAAATATAGTACTAAAATGTATGTTGCTCATGTTATAAATCGAAAGTTAGCAAGCTCTTTCTGTAAAGGAACAGATGGTAAATATTTTAGGTCTCTGTTGCAGCTCTTACATTCTACCATTGTTGAATGAAAGTAGCCATAGACAATATGTAAATACATGGGCTTGGCTGTGTTCCAGTAAAATTTTCCACATTTGACTCTCGGTTTGCTGATCTGTGTTACAGATTCAGAAGTTGTAGATAATTGACATTTTGTATATTTTTTTTTATTATAAAAGTTTTCCTCTCTACGTAAATATACAGAGAGTAGTTGATTGACCTTCCACAAACTCAGGGCCCACCATCCACAATGATCAACATTTTGCCAAAAGGTTATTTCAGAATGTTTTCAATTTAGGGAAATGAATAGGTAGGTAAGCGCTGAATAGAACTTACACAATTATCATTTATTGAATTATACTTTGACCTTTGTTTTTCTTTCCAAGTTTGCCTGTAGGGACACTCAATTTTAATGAACACTAATGCCATTCCTGAAATTCATTATTTAAGTTTTTATTGCTCTCAGTACACTAAGTAAAATCTCAGCTAACTTTACATAAAGAAAAGCTTAATATATATAAACGGTGTTTTTATGAGAATTCTTTCTGGAAGCATGAAATCTTTATTCATGATATATACTCCCATACAAATACATACACACATACACATATCCTTAATAAACGCAAGAAAGCACCAAATATTTGCCTAATACGTGTTTATAGAACCCAAATATAGCTGGTAAATTATGAAAACTGATAGGCATTTATTCACAAAAAGATCTTTCCAGTGCAAATTCTAGGAACTATAAAGGTAAATATCCCTGCTCAGGAATGATCTTTTCCCATTCTTTTTGATTCCTTGGTTTCTTATTATGTAGGTTTTTGGAACAAAATTCATTTTCCTTCCCGTGACATGACTTTTATGAGTAATTTAGAAAATGCAGTTATCAAAAATTGTAGTGCTACCCAGAGAAAAAGTAAGATTGATCTCATTGAAAGAAATAAATCTCATGAACTTTTGTCATAAAATAAAGAAATATAGACAAACCCGCATTGAGAAAGCTAAATATGACATCTTTTTATTTCCAGCACAACAATTTGTGGAGTATTATTTCTTCATTAGAATCATGTGTTTGCCTTCCTGTTTGTGCAACATTTTAAACATATCTATTCTTACCTAAAACAGCTTCATTTAACCTCAATGAATCTTAAAAAGTTAATTTTTGTTTTGAGTCTTTCAGTATAATTTTAATTCTATTTTATTTTCTGAGCTGTGAAAAGCCTGTGTCACAACTATTTGTCTTCTGGGTAATAACGTGATCAACATATGGGCTGATGACCCCATGCAGAGATAAACTATTTTGTTTCTCCTACCCTCTATTTTTTTCACCTGTCTTTTTAATAGTATACATGAAGAACCAGTTCTATAACCTGGATTGCCCAAGTGGTGGTGCAGAGCTGGCATTTCAGTCATCCAGAAGCTAAATTAGTCTACCTTTGAGTGTCAGGTCAGGCAGTGATAGATGAGGCTGTCTTACCTGGTTAAAGAAATCAGTTTTGATTGCCTTCCACAGCTTGGCACTATTGGTATTATTTCGGGTCCTTCTGCCCTAGATCCTCAGGAAATAGAGCCAAATTTTTAATTCCCGGAATTTGTCCCTGTCATCCTCATGAAATGTTCTTGTTAATTGCTAAGTTGTCTTTCTTCTTTCCATCACCTGTTTTTCAAACGTATTATTCCCAGGCCTAGAGCTAGAAGTACTCATATCCAGTCTCTCCTTTTTTATTTCCCTCTGGGAGAGAGGCCTTACATAATCTGTTTCTGTTCAAAGCTTGTGTTACTCTTTCTATGGAATATCCATATTTCCCAACCTGCTGCCAGGTTGCCCTAATTGTTTTGGTGACATGTCGGCCCCCGTGGTCTTACTCCTTATGCAGTGTTGTGAGTCTGCACTTTAGCAAGGAAGAGACTTGACAGAACACATTGATGTGCATGTCTAACTTCTGTTTTAAGTAATTTTAAATTGCCAAAAAAAGGTTTTAATTAAGTGCAAAACTTATTCTTGGTTGTTTACCTTATCCTTCTCATCTTCCCTTGCTTTTCAAAGGAGCTTCCAGGTTATTCTGGTTCTTTTAGATTATTTCTATTACTGGAGCAAAACGATTTGACAACAGTTTCACCTGTTGAAATGTTTTTTAAAAAGTAATGACTTAGAGGTTTTCCTAATGCAAAGAGAGAAAATAGACCAAGTCTAATATAAATTTGGGAAAAATAAAAATTAGCAACTGTTGCTTCATTTATTCTTTGTCTTTTCCATCCACATTCCAGAACTCATCATTGAGCAAATAATTGTTATGTATCTGAAGTTTTCCACAGTGCATATTCAGGTACATAATTTTCACTAATTCACACTAACACTTTTTTTTGTAAACCTCCCAGGTTCTCCCAGCAGAGATGTGGGTCCTTCCCTGGGTCTGAAAAAGTCAAGCTCATTAGAGAGTCTGCAGACCGCAGTTGCCGAGGTGACTTTGAATGGGGATATTCCTTTCCATCGCCCACGGCCACGGATAATCAGAGGCAGGGGATGCAACGAGAGCTTCAGAGCTGCCATCGACAAATCTTATGATAAACCCGTGGTAGATGATGATGATGAAGGCATGGAGACCTGTAAGTTTATAATGGCTGAAAGAGTAACAATTAAAATGACTCTATTTCTTAAAGTGAGCTCCAGGGAGCCCTGGGGGTTTCCTAAGACTCTTCAGGGGAATCTCTGAGATCTCTGAGGTCTAATAATCTCTTATTTCATAATAAGAAGACGATATTATTTGCCCTTTACTCACATTCTTTTATAAGTATACATTGGGATCTTCTGGAGGCCACATGTCATGTAATACTACATTAGATTGAATGCAGAAGCAGATATGAGAATCCGTCTTATAGGCCAATATTAAACTAAAAATTTTGAAAAAATATTTAACAGTGCCACTGTTCTCACTTCTTTTGGAATATATGTATTTTTTGGTAAAAATGTAATTTTTGTTAACACGAAGCTGCCTGTTTTTAAAAAGTAATATTTTCAGACTTTCCCGGTTTTAATTCAGTACATGTTGCTAGATATAATCCACATACAAAAAGGTTATTTAGAGTGCTTAATAATTTTTGGGGGTATAAAGTCATCCTGAGTGCAAAAAGTCTGAAAACCACTACTTTGTAGTATCCCTAATAGGATGTCTCCATTGAATATCTGTAATAATCTGTGATCTTAAAAACACGTTTTTGTTTTGCTTTCAGGAATTACTCTTGCTTTCCTATAACTAGCAAGCTATATTTGTGTGTGTATATTTTGAAATTGCAAAAATATTTAAAACCAAGATTATTAAAAGTCAAAGGTTAATATGAATATTTTCCGTGCTTTATTGAAGAAAAAATAAATTTATAGATAGGTACAAATATATCCTTCCAGAGAATTAAACATTTATTATATTAAAGTAACCATTCTATTAAAAAATAATGGAAAAACTCTACTGATATATTTACTAAGAAGCAAAATGGCTTAGGAGTCCTAACAGTGAAAATTGTTGATTATCTTATATTGTTCATAACTACTAATTTACCTTTTAGTGTTTTAACCTCAAATGTGACTCACCTATCAAACTATTGTAAGAATAGTTGGAGGGACCACAGAATAAAGCTAAAGCAGAGACCAGAGATAATGTGTGTGGATTGTAAATTACTTGCAATTCAACATTTGAGTGGACCACTTCTATCACATATACCTAAGAAAGACTTTTGTGGGAAGAAGAGTTTTAAGTAACAAATATCACATTTTGAGAATAAGGAAAAACTTACGTATTTTGCTTATACATATAATGCATTTGAGAAGATGAATATTTCTGTCATAACGTAATATGCAAAGCATAACTTTGAGGATTGGCTACACTTCTCTCCACCTCCGCCTGATTCTCCATCTAAATCCAGACAGTTTTTTCACTATGATCAGCCAGTGATTACAAATATATGCAGCCCATTCTTGCAGGATGAAGAGCATATTTCCTATTTTTGCTGCCAAACCTGGTCTCCAAGATCCTGAGTCATAGGAGCTTTCGAGTCTATTGAGTTTTTTCCCTTTGTAATAATGGTTCCTTGCCATCCTAATCAATATTACTTGACAATTATAGCGCTTGCTTCTATCTTGGGTGTATATTTAATCAAAAATTACTATGCTTTGGCCCCTCGATATGTATTTTTTAAGTATCTACAATTTGTGATGCTTTTGAACTTTTTTCTTGTTCTGGTTAAAATGTTATTCAATTTTCCTTAAAAAATGCAGTTTGCTCTTACAATATGTCACTCATGTCAAATGTAATGGGATAGAATACATATGAATATAAGGTATATTTTTAATTCTGTAGAGATGGCCTTCAGAGTGTCCCACCAACGTGGACATCTGATTTTGTCCCTATGTAAACTTATTTTTCTTAAAATGAGAAATAACATATATTAAAGTTCGTTCATGTATCTGTCCTTTAGAGAAAAAAAGTGAAATGAAACACATGGATAGACAAATTACAATTTGCAAACCAAATATAAAGTTCTGAACAAGACCTGGGAAATATACGTGTGGCAGGTGCCCTAAAACACACTGCACCTACAACCACCAAATGTGGTATTTTTCAACAGTCCTGTTTTTATTATTTTTTGCATAACAGTTTTATGTACTTTTCCTATGGCAAATGAAAGGCAACTATTGTAAATTCCAAACTTTTCCAATTTTGGTCGTTGAAATTGTGTTTATAGGGTGGAATGAGCACGGAAGTGGAATTCAGGTGACTTGCATCCTTATCTACATTCGTCTAAGTAATTTGGGATTTTAGTCCAAACTTCAACTGCTTGAGCTTTAATTTCTTCATTTGTAAAACTGAAGATTTGGACTAGATCATTGACTTTCAGTTGGTGTGTTGTGATCTCTGGTCAGGAGCAGTACCTCGGTGGATTTGGAGAGTGGGAAAGGCCACCAGCGTCTCCTTCCGCTGCCCTCTCCCGCCCCCCCACCAACCTTGACAGTTGTTTTAATCACTTCTGTACATGGGGATCCTTTGTAAATTTTAGTTTTTAAAAAGAGTGTTTTTGAGTATTTAGGAAAAAGTTGTAAAAGTTCTGGCTTAGATGGTTTAGATGGTTCCCAGAGTCCCTCCTAGTTTAACATTCCATGATTCTATGTACCCCCTCACTGCCCTACATCTGGCGCGCTAACCCCCTCACCTTCTGCGAGGCCCACGTGGAAAACACCCTATCTGTTTTCATCTTGCTTTACCAAACACAAAGCTTGGCAAATCATAGAATTCAATGAATGTCTGCCAAATCGATGAGTGGGTGAGTGAGGTATCCCACACTGGACCTTGTATCTACTAGATCTTCAATACCTCAGCAAGCTCTTTGTTTTTCTTTAAAAAAAAATTGTCTATCAAATGTGGTGTTACTGCTGGTGGTCATTAGGCTATCAGCTTATGTAAAACTGAAGATGCAAAGGCACTTTCTGCCTCCAGCTTTGGAAAGAAGGCCGGCTTAGTGAGCCCTCCTTCGGTTTCCTAACCACACCATTTTCAGGATCTGGCCTGTGAACTTGCACAGCCAGGTCTCTGGACTTGCTGTCTCTGTGGCTGTGCTCCTGCATTTTTGCCTTTCTGGGCTTGTCCCTTAGCTATGTGTCCCCTGGCTGCATGTCCAACATCCTCCATTGTCTGTGCTAAGTGGGCCTCAGGGGAAGTGGGTTCTTTCTTGTCCCGATGGTCTGACTCAGTTACAGCTGCCCATAGAAATTAAAAAGCCACATCCCCCTTGAACCTGGATCTGAAAAGAGGACCGTCGTCTAGGCAGACGGTCTTTTTGTCACACGGGACATTTCCTGAGGATGCAGTGCACCCTGGAAACGTGTGGCTAGAGACTGAGCCATTGTGTAAAAGCTAGTTATGGAGGTCAGCAGGAACAGAGAGCTCCTTCCACCATGCTGCAGGCTCTGGTTTCTACCATCATGTGGCACTTTTCCTCTTTACAAGTGAGACACGTAGGCGTAGGCATGGCTGATTGCTCTTGTCAGTTGGGTCGAGCCCCTCCCCAGTGACTGTATTCATGGCACTGAAAGGCTGGCCTCTTCTCAGCAGTGTGGAAATCATGGCATGGGCACAGCAATGGGGCCAAGAGACTGGGGTGGGATCCATGTGGTATCTGGTAACTGTCATCTTCTGCAGCACTTGCATTCTTCCTGTGGAGATGGCAGAAGCCAGCATTTTTGTCTCTCATTTAATCCATCTGGCATCTCCATGTTGTGTGCGTCTGTCTGGATCAAGATGGAGCTTTGTATTCTGGGACCCATTATCTCTGAGGCCCTACCTGTGTTTGACAGGTCAGGGCATTGACAATCTGCTCCCTCTTCTATGCAAATTACATACCCAGCCTGGCTCTCAGCAAGTGACTTCTACTTTCCCCGTGATAAATCAGTTTCTATTGCTACCAAGAAAATGCATGCAGTAAGATTGCTTTGTTTTCTTTTAAAAAATACATTAATTCTACTTTTTCATAATTAGAAGTTACCAGAAATTGTAAGCCCTGCACTCAGTTTTGAAACAGCTCTTTGATAAGGTTGAGGAAGTGAAACAGCAAAACTAAATATCTCCTACTAATTGTACCTATTGATTTTAAGATACATTCAAGTTCAGAATTTTAAATGTGACAAACTTTGTGCCTTGCAAACATGAAGGCATTATCTTCAAACATGAAGATGGTAGCTGGCATACTTTCCTGTAGAGCTCTTATTAGGAGATAGGAGAAAAGCACTGTTCCAAAATACACGTAATTTAGGTTTTCAGTATGAAATTTGAAGAAACTGAATTTACATTATTAAATCAACTAATACGAAAGTTTCCAGGGGAATTTCGTTATTGTTTTATTAGCTATGAAATAACATATTGCATTTGATATCTCAGATTTTCTACTCTCAGCATTCTACTCACTTCTAGCCACCTTTCATCACCACCTATTTCAGCAAAAATAATGCAAACTAAGTCTATTTCCTATTTGTTAATCTGTTTTAGTGGATAATTGGATGTTGATCTATAAAAATACTTGTTCTGAAATGCTAAGAATAACCTATCACATCATTTTATGCTAATAAAATAATACATATACTTAACCTGCAGTTTAAGAAAAGGAGCTTTGATTAATTTTTAGGAGGTATCTGATCATAGTGTGGGTGTATGGTTGTGAAATAACCGAAAGTATTCCTTACATTTCTTTTTCTAGATAAAATGTAACTTAGCAGAAAGTGCAATGAATATTCACATCTGAAGTGAAGTGTTTGAATGATACAATCCTCATTTATAACTTTTTTTTTTTTTTTTTTTAAGAAAGAGTCTCTCTCTGTAGCCCAGGCTGGAATGCAGTGGCACAGTCTTGGCTCATTGCAACTTCCAACTCCCAGGTCCTGGTTCAAGCAATTCTTCTACCTCAGCCTCCCGAATAACTGGAATTACAGGAATATGCCACCATGCCCAGCTAATTTTTGTATTTTTAGTAAAGACGGGGTTTCACCATGTTGGCCAGGCTAGTCTTGAATTCCTGACCTCGTGATCTGCCCACCTTGGCCTCCCAAAGTGCTGGGATTACAGACA